AAACACTACAGTCTCTTAACCGGCACATACCATCATCAGGCCAAAATGGCAATCACACCATAGTTTAACCTACAAACATGGATTCAGATTTAATCATAACAAAATACATCCAAACTCTCTACCAAGGAAGATAAATAGAAAGAAAAACCTTGAAATACCGGTAAAAAGGTGTCTTAACAAGGTCTTGAAGCAGTGGATGCAACACCTCCGTGTTGAGCTTATTCACCGTCTCGTAATCACAACAACAGTCTTCAACCATCCCAATGTACTTCTTCTTCTCAGCCCAAGTACAAAATGAATAACATAAGATTCGTAATTATATATATATATATATATATATATATATATATATTGATTATTTAGCTTCCAATCCAATTGATTCAAGCCTTATAAACCTGGCTCTGATTAGTTCTTATGATTCGAAGAGATTCAAAGCTGATCTCTAGCACAAACACTATCACATAAGCCTAATCAAGATCTCAAAGTTAGAGGATCAATTCGAGCTTTCCTAATCAGAAACATACAAAGAAGCTTAAAAGTTAGAGGATCTCACTAGACAAGACACGCAATCTATTATACGTGGAGATCATACTCAAATCTATTATCACGAAATCTTACTTGCAGCAAGTTCATGAACGTTTATAAAAAAAAAAAAAAAAAGCCACAAACTTTACCACAATACACAAATAAAAAAACTTCAAATTGAACAGAAAAGAGATCTACTTTACCATTCCTAGAAAAAAACTTCAAACTGAACAGATAAGCTCACAGCTTACATTCTTTATAAGATCAATCAGTGTTCATCCTCGTACAATAATAGTGATCTTGCCTCTCGTCGTAGACAAAGTACTACGCTCAAAGCTTTGGTAATGATGTATCAAACAAAACTTACCGCAATTCCATTTTGATCTTGAAGAAGAATGCGTCGCCAGAGCTTCTCAGATCTCGCCGTAGCTTCGTCGGACCTCGCCGTAGCTTCTTCAGATCTAGCCGTAAAACTCTTCAGGCTTCGTCGCCAAGATCGATTGAATCTGAGATAAGATTTAGTTTTAGGATTAACTAGTTAAGGGTATATAAGTACTTTGCCAATTAAAAATTTAATGGTAAAGTTGGTTAAGGTATAAATAAAATATGGTATCATGAAAATGCTATATCTGGCAATTTCTCTTCTTTCTTTTTCGTTCTCTTATTTCTCCTCTCATCTCAACTCTTCCTCTGATCCTCTTCATTTTTTTTCTGAAACACGACAGAGAGATGAGAGATGAGACAGAAAGAGATGAGATATTGAGATTACTGGAGGAAAAAGAAGAGACCGGTCTGAGTTCAACAGTATCCACAACAACAACCCATCAACGCTCGAAGATAACGCCGGTGAGATTAAATCCGGCGAGATTAACTCCGGTGAGATTAACTCTCGTCATCAACCCATGTTTTTGAATAGGGTTTCCATTGTTCAGTTTTAGGGTTTGGATTGGGGCTTTTGCAATTAGGGTTTTGATTTGTTTCAGTTTTAGTGTTTTGATTGGGGCTTTAGTGATTAGTGTTTTGATTAGGGTTTCCATTTGAGTATAAATTTCAGGCTGGGTGACTTCGGGGTTCTAGATACATGTAATTAAGTTATAACAGTGTCGTTAATACCTGCTTGAATTTTTTTAAAACTTAGCTTCGGCAGTTCTGTGAGACACCTATTTATGTTGGCTGCTACTATATTCTGCAGATATATGGCAGTGGTATGACGGCTGCTACTAGATTGTGTTGTAAGTATAAAAAAATAAGATGTTCATCAGCTTGTTGCCTGCAGTGGCTTAACCTATGATTTTTGGCAGGTGTGGTGGCTGGGATGGAAAAAAATGGCTGTCAGATTTGTATGTTATGGACACAAGTAAGACCTTTTATCTCTCGTCTACTTCAGTTTAAAAAAAAAAAACTGATTCCAGTTTATAATAATGTCAACTTTCTTGGTATCCATTAGTGTCCCTTGAGTGGATAGAGCTGTCTGTTTCGGGGTCGTTGCCACCTCCTAGATATGGTCATACAGCCACCATGGTTGAGAAAAGTTTACTTGTTTTTGGTGGCCAGGAACCAAAAACATTTTTTTTGCTTGAGCTGATAACAACCAAACTGCGATTATTGTGTGTGGTATGGTTATCTTTGACAGGAGGTGGTGGCCCTATCATGGGTGATCTGTGGGCTTTGAAGGGTCTAATAGATGAAGGTAATTAAATTTCTTGAAAATTACATTGGATCTTGTAGGAATGTCCTCTTGTTTACCTTATTTGTTATGTTATGTTTGCTGATCTTGTTGTGGTTTACCTTTGTTGTGCAAGAAAAAGTGTTAAACACTTGAATGGACCCAACTAAAGCTTCCTGGTCAAGCACCATCGTCTCGATGTGGTCATACAGTTACAACCGGAGGACATTATGTATGTCTTTTTCAGTTCATGTTAGCTCTTTTGTGTATAATGAGCTTCGTATGACATACATCGCTCACATCATTAATTTTCTATATGAAGCTTCTGTTATTGGGGGGACATGGAACTGGTGTGGATGGCTGAGTCTTATGATGTCTGTTATAGTGACACTATAATTTTGGACAGAGGTATATTCTTGCTCACTCGTCTTCTCTGCTCAAGGATCACTTCACATCCAAACTCTACTTTAGTAGTTTATTCCAATGGCTTTTCCTTAGCTAATTCTTTTCTTCTTCTTTTTTTTTTTTGTTTAATATGCTGTAACAACCAAGACGTGGCTGCTGGTTGCTTTGAGATTTGCAAAGAAGGCTTTGAAATTAGAGGTTATATATATGACACAGGAGAAGGAGACATCTTGGGATTGTGGGCAATGATATAATCCAGGAGAAGTAATCTCAGATGGGTTGTGTATTAATGGCTCAGATGGGTTGTGTATTAGTGGCAATGCTTCTTTCGAGCCTTCTCATGGACTTATGGATGATTGTAAACAATTTAGGTTTTGGTTTAGTTTTTGATTTAGGCTTTGGTTTTGGTTAATTTGTAACAATTTCAATATATTTAAATATTTAAAAATTATATTTATATTTTTCATTTTTTTTTTAATTTATTAAAAATGCTATAATAGCAATTAATATATGCTATAATAAAATATATAATTGCACAACAACCTAAACGCTATTGAATGAAATATTTAAAATAGTATAAAAAAACGCTATTTAAAGTTCCTAAGAAAAGATTGCGGGGGCAGACACAGCGTTTGCCATAACGCTGTGTTTCACTATAATAACGTTTTTCAGATATTATATATGTGACATTTTCTTGTAGTGCATGCTTCTTGTAACATCTTTCAGCAATATGACCAATCTTGTTGCAGAAGGAACAAATAGGTTTCCCTTTATGAGCCCCACTCTGCACGTAACTGATACTTGAAGTCACTTGAGAGGGAGTTGGAGTCTTAGAGACCTGAAATGCAGCAGAGGAGATCGCAGTAGCAAAGCTCTTCTGACTATCATCTTGGTCCAAGATGTTATAAACATCAGTGAGAGAATGCAATGTTTTCTTCATAATTATCTGACGACGAATCACAGCATATGATTCATTCAATCCAACCAAGAACTTGACAATCTTAGCACGTTCAGCCTTCTGTTGGAGACGAAGTGCTTTCCCACACGTACAAGGATCATCAGGTTCCTCACAATTCTCCAAATTACTCCACAAGGTCTTCAGCTTAGTGTAGTAATCCGAGAGAGAGAGAACCTTGACGTAAATCCTGAATCTCTTGTGTGAGATTGTAAGTTCTAGGCAAGTTCGTCATGTGGAAACGACTATGTAAGTCATTCCACACATCAGTAGCATCATTCAAACGAAGTATACTACGATAGATCTGAGTTGACACCGTGTTAAGAATCCAGGATTTAACAAGGCTGTTACAACGAGACCAAATACGAAAGTTAACATCGGATTACAGAGGTCGTGGTAACGATCCATCCACAAATCCGATCTTATTCTTCGCATCAAGAGCAATCTTCATCGCAGCTTCCCAATCATCAAAGTTTGAACCATCAAGTTTGAGAGAGATAAGTAACAAACCATGATGATCAGATGTGTGCATGAAGTAAGGAGAATGAATCGAATCCGTAAAATCAACGCCTAGAAGTGCACGCGACGCCTTAGAAACCTAACCAGAAGTCGTCGGAGAGGCAATCGGAGCAGCACGGGTTGAAATACGCAACGATCGACGAGGGATATTCTTCACCGGTACCATCGTAGCTTGAGAAACGTAATCGGAGCTCGATCGAGGAGAAATTATCAACAAATCAAGCTCAAAAGAAGCTCTGATACCATATTACGTTCAAGTTACTTGAGAGAGAAGAAGAAGATAATATCAAAATGATTTCTTATTAATGATAAAATGTACAGTTACAAGTATTTATATTAGCTGTACAATTGTATTAAACCGAGCTACTTAACCAAACCAACATTAAACCGTATATCATCATACACTATAAACCAATAATAATCGTTAACATCTGCTTTTCACTACTCTCAGGATCTATTATTCAAAGCATATTCCATTAGGATTCTTCGATTATAGATAGGTAAGTCCATATCCCTTCAAATTCATCAGTAAGATCCTCTCAATGTTTAGCTTTTCTAAACTATCAGCAATAATAATGTCTTACTCTTCTCTGTTCCTCGCTGATGTGTACGTGGTTGAATCTAAATGTGATCATGATTGATTCTGTTTAGTGAGTGCATCAATGTTTATTTTTTATGTATATTAGTCTATATTGATTACCTTGGTACTTCATGTTTGAAGCAATATTATGAATGCATCAAGGTATAGTTTTTATGTGTATTAGTCTATAGTGAGCTGCTTGGCACGAGGTTCAGCCTAATTTAAATCTATTTGGGACAGTATGATGAAAGCATCAAGGATTATGATAACATTGTTAAAAGAGGTAGACAGCTTATGTAGATTACTAGATGGTACCTAAATCTTTGACTATGAAGGGAATACTCTGCTGAAGATGGCAAAAGTCTAGCTCAATATATTATGAATATGTGGCCGAGACTTACCAGAAAACTCTTGTGGGGAGCACCATAACCAAGACACATTGAAGAGGCGGAATGAGGCTGAGTAATTCAAGAAGGAGTTGGATCATAAAGAGTATTTTCATGGCATATTGGTGAGGCGGAGCGTGAGAAAGGTATTTTGGTTTTGCAATTATATCTTTGTAAAACAAGTTATACTTACATGTAATGAGTTATTCAAGGAGCAGGAGTATCATGATGCTGTCAGACATCACACTGAAGCAATACAAAGAAATCCAAAAGACTCAAGAGTAAGTCCACTCTAATCTATCTTTTGTGCTTCACTATTGTGTACAACGGTTTCACTATTACGTTTTCCTTTTTTGGGCTTACATAGAACCAGTGAGCTAAGCATATTTTTTCCCCTTCTTCCACGATATGCCTAGGGTAGTGCAATATTTGTGATCCAGAACATACTCACATATCATGTAATGGGACAGATAATGAAACAAACTTCGAATTTCTAGATGTCTTCACTATTAACAAATCAATGTTTGGTTACAATTTGCTGCAGCAATCCATGTTTATGTTAATGATGTCTCACCGAAATCCAACACTTTTTTTAACAGATTATGTCTGATTCGAAGAGAATCCACCAGTACACAAAAACACATGCGGACGCAGATGAACATAAACAAATCCAATAGCATATAAACCTAAACCCAGAGTTTTTCTTTTTTGTAGCTCTCGAACCAAAATAAGATTGTTTCAGGGTAATCTGACGTAGCATTGTCTTTTTATATTAATTTTGTTTTTATAAGACAGAGATTTGAATAGCTTACAATACTGAAATGCCCCAAAATACTCGCAAAAAAAGTTTCAGTACTGGGTTAGTTCTGAACAAGAAAAAAAAATGGTCTTAAGCAGCAAGTTCTTCACCCTTGGACAAATAACCATGTGTGGTGCATTCTCTTGATGTTTTGTTGAATGTTCAATTGAGGACTTAAGCGGGTGATGAAGCTGACGCTCCGGAGGATGAGATGGTTCAGGTTCCTTGGAGCCGGGGTTTGGAGAAGAGGAAACATATGCTTACATCGAGATCTTTGAAGGCAAAGATCATTCTATCCACGACCATGATTTGAGGGCTTTGGAAGCGAGTTTACGTACGCGATGCTTGGTTCGCCAATACTATACTCATTCCAATTGGTAGAAAATGAGTTAAACTATGTAAACTACTATTATCATAGTGAGTAAGGAGTCACTGTAAGATTTAATATTTGGTTCTTGGAAACCAAAAGAATATAAAAACAAAATTAATATAGAAAAATATGTTAGTAAGTAATATTTATTTCAAAATTCTAATCAAATATGTTGATATATAATAACACCTATAAGATTCTAAAAACATGTATATGTATAAATAGAAATGATATTCTCATATGATCAGTTTATCTATGTTAAAATATTTTTAATTATAAAGAAGAAATTACTTCTTTTATATTGTGTATACCATTAGTTTTAAGAAACAATGTATAAAAATAATTTAATTCAGAAGAATCTATATAACTGAGTAAAAATAACTTCACTATACTTAATCCAATTTTAAGAAAATCTATGTGACTTATTCTTATAGATAATTGAAAGAAAATAATTATATTTTTAATTCTATAGTAAAATAAATAGTTAAACTGCCTCCGGTATTCCTAGAAATATTTTAATTTTTAAACATTTAATAAATTTTAGTTAATAAGATTTAAATTATTTGTATTAATAGTTTATTTATTCGCCCGCCCGTAGGGCGGGTTTACCTTAGTTTTTAATAATAAAGTTGGCTTTTTTCCTCCTTGTGGGAATTAATAGACTTGTCACATTCTTATTCGTTGATTTTTTAATGAGTTTTGGGCTTCTATAGAAATTTGTTAAAAAATTTTAAACGGGTTTAGTCTTCTACACAATGTTTAGTCTTCTTCGCTGCGCATTCGTCCACATCCGGCCTAAGTTATAAAGACCAAATTCAGACGGTCGCTTCTCTGTAACGCCTCGAGGTCGCATTGACCCACTCTCCCCACTCTTAAGCATTCGATTGAGTTTATACCCTCTCTAGAGTAACTATGAAAAACTCATATTATAAATATCTCTACACAAAGGATGCTGTTGAGACTCACCAGCAGTTAAGAAGCGTTATGGACTGGATCAGTTCCCGCAAATTCAAATCTCTAAAGCTCACAGATGTTCTTTCAAACTTTCCAGATATCTCAGTAGTAATGTGTTCTTCTTCTTCCTTTACCCCTTTGAAAACATAACCAAATTCTTGCATAGTAAATTTCATACAGTCTTAAACCACTCTATTTATTATTTCACTGATTGTAGGTAAATCAAGTTTTAATGAAAGTTACTCACAAAAAAGACCTTTGAAGCATCTAAGATGAAATATACAACTTGAGAATCTATCTTCCTCCTTTAACTGATCACTTCCTAACTTTCAGAAATCATGAACAAGCTGGACAAAAACCGTGTTCTTTCTAGAGCAGAGTAGGATGCATACATCAAAAACAGAAACGAGGTATATAATAAATCATTTTCTACTGATTTAATTTTAGTTCTCTTTTTTTTTTTATCTTCACCATCAACTAAACCTTAAATATACACCATGAAACGAATTCAATTTTGTGAAAAATGGATGTGATGGTAAAGTACTAAAGCTGCTCCAAAAAAGGGAGAGCTACAACTTCTTAAGACTACATGTACATGAAAGTGTGAGACTTTGGCTTCTTACTAGGTTTAATACACAAGCAAAAAGGATAGATATATAAAGATGGTGCTAAAGTGCATTATTGATTTTTTTTTTGTTAAGCTTTGTACCATTAGATGCAATATATAACCACTGATCATTATAGAGCTTCACAACATGTTGGATGGTGAAGCCAACCAAACGACATCAGTTTGTAAGCTAATCCAAGAAGCCTTCATGGAAGATTCTAGCAGCCGCTACATAGGCTTGCTTTCTCAGTTCAGACCTACTTCTTTAAGGTTTGTTGGTCATAAGGCTGCATCCAACTTTAACTGAATATAAGCTTAATATAGTCAGAAAGTAATTGACCCATTAAGCACAGTGAAGCACGTGTGAACAATGATGGTGTAGCCATCGCACTTATCCAATACCAGTGACGTCCAAAGTCGTTCATCACTGTTTGTAATTTGCCAGAGACATGGGATCTTGCAGTTTCCACATCGAATAATTCAAAAGCTGATTTTGGCATGACACGTCAAGTGCTTTAATTATTTGTAAAACTTAAAAGAGTTATCAGAAAGTGATATTGTACATTTACAGTTCTTTCGTCTCTCATGTCCTCTTCAGTTCATACATAATATGATGCTATATAGATTTATCACTTTCTTTTATTGATCAACCATCAGATTTATCACTATAATTTTTTGATACGTCACTTCATCTTTTCTTTAGATTTTGTACTACAAATTGGTGTAAAAAACACATACATACTTATGTTAAAAATTAGATTTTACAATAGAAATCCGGCGCGTAGCGCCGGCGCACCCCTAGTTATACATAAAGTAAGATTTTCTTTCTCTTAGGTGTGTCATGTCATCAATTAAACAATTGTGGACGTGACATGTGTACACTATTATTAAAACGTTTCGTTTCACAGCTTCGCTCTTCCAATTCTTTTGGGCTACGTCCAGTCTAATCTTAACTGATGAGTAAAATTACTCTCGCATGTACCTTTCAATCATGAAAGTAGGGTTCATGTTAGCCATCTGGCGTCTTTTCCTCTCTCTCTCTGGTCGAAACGAGTTCCACCAGCTTCAATAATTCCTCACACACGATCTCTACTTCAATATGTTATAGATTCGTTTTATTCCTCTGAGAACCATTCTAAAATCTCTCTTACCATGCTTATTCTCTTTCATATGGCTAACTCCAGAGTGTTCTTATCCGACTTGAAGTCCGGCAGGTACTCCTCCACCATTGAGATCCGTCTGCTATCAACGTTTTCCCCGAGTAAGTCTCTTCGACTTTTTCTCAGCGAGAGATATCCCATTTGCTCTCTCTCATGGTCAGCCTGTTTCTCTGTTTCTCTCTTGATTGCTCATATCTTAGTCGCAGCCATGATCCAGTGATTGAACTTCTACTTGCGTGTTTGTGAATCCCTGGTACGAGTGACAAGATTGGAGGCTGCGTCATGGAAAAGAAGGTGATATAACAGTATGGGGACTTCAATGTTTTCACATCAAATTTTAAGCCAATGTTATAAGTAGTTGGTTTTAGAAATGATTACACCAAGATGTAGAGACTGGTCATAAAACTTCTGTGTATCATGTATATGTAGTTTGAAGGTTCATGTCATTTCACAGTATCATGTGTATGTAGTTTCAAGATCATCAACAACCATGCTTCTTCAAATGAAGTTACAAAACAGAGACATATTCTCAGGTTGTTAAGTCTCTATCAGTCTGGTATCATAATAGTTCTTGGACTTTAACCCACAATCTCCCAAATTTAGTCATTATTAGGATTTTTAGATTTAAAGTTTACATTCCATAGAGAATTTGGACACCGTGCCAAATTGAATCATTGCACTTCCATTACGCCATCAACACTCAGGTGCATGTAGCACAATTTGAGGTATCGATAAAATCCGTTATCTAATTCTTAGACCTACACCAGGCTAGAACTAAATAATTAATAGCTTTGGTGTGATCGACGGCTTACCAATACTTTTACGTTCCTCAAGGGCCACCAAATTTTTATGTGTGATAAGATAATAGCTATATTTTCAGGAATTAAAATAATTTGAATAATGTTTTTTTTTAAAATACAAGTAAATAAGGGTCACAACTTTTTATTTTATTTGGACCATTTTTTTATTAACCTTGTCTGATGAAACATGTGACTATGTGAGGATGGAGAAAGGAACTTACTATTGAACGATGTGCATTATACAAGAAGCAATAACAAGTTATTTTTTTTCTTTCGTACATATATTTGTTGGGAAGGTTTATAAGTAAAAAAAACAATTTGTGGTTGTACATATATACACTACATTGTCTACAGAACAAAAGCAAACTGTTTTTTTTTTATTTAAAAAAAAAGCTAGAAAAGAGTAAGCATAATTAAGACAGGGAAACACATCTTAAGCATTAAAAAAAAATCCATCATCGAATTGAAAATTGATATTAATGACTAGTGTGACTAAATTCATCAAATCGTAACAGCAATAGATTCCAATACGCAGCATGACTTGGGGACGGTAAGCACAACATCACACCACTCAATGATCCCATAAATCTCTTGTCCGCTGCGCCTTTCAACCGCAATCACAGCACACCAAATCATCTTCTTCCTAGAGAAAACACCACTCTTCTCCCACAAAACCGCAATCTTGCCACCATAGTTTACCAACCTGAGTCGACTAAAACTCCTTGGTAGTTTAGGAAGTTCTTCCAGACCCTTCAAATATCTCCAAATTCTTTCATCGGAATCGTACCATGAAATAACTCTGGACAGTTTAGAACTGTAGAGTACGTTGTTTATTACACAAGAGAATTTAAACTGAGTCCAAAGGAAGAGAGTCTCGTATCCTAAGACGACATCCCATTTATTTTCCATGGGCTTGTAAACCATACACTTATCTCCACACAGGTAAAGCTTTCCGTCTATTGCTAAGCTTTTTATCATAAACTTCTGGCCAAGTATCTCTGCTATAGGGCATGGCAGATAATCCCATATTTGGGTTTTAGGATCGTAAATCTCGATCGAATTCGATGGAGGAACGTTCCATTGTTCCACTACATATATTTTCCCATCTATAACACTCATGTGTGGCCAGATTCGTTTCATCCGCATGCTTGGAGCTTCGTGCCAGGTGTAAGACCGACAGTCCAAGAAAAATACTTTAACCGAGCATAACTTACTGTCGATGCCAATGCTGTAGATGTTAGAACCGATTACGGCATGATTCGGCAAGGACTCAACAGAGAAATTGCGAGTCGGGACTGATACCATAAGATAGTTGCTCGACCTCTTCTCTTCCTTCTTAGTCTGATTCTTCAGGCTTCTATGTGGTTTAAAGCATGGAGTGAACCATTGTGTGTTAGGGTTAGGGCTAGAATTAGGGTTAATATTAGGGTTAGGGATTTTAGATGGTCTTCGACATAGAGTGAACCAACGTGGGTTAGAAGAAGAACTGAAACGTAAGCACAAATAAAGACAACTCTCGCTATGGCGTAAGAGTGTTCGGGTTTGGTAAAGCTCGAGCGATGCAATGAGAGAGCGAAGTCTCTTGGAAACCAAAGAGAGAATAGGGTAGTATAATCTTGAAACGCGAGCTAAGCAATTCAACAATAAATCATCAGGAAGATGTGTGATCATATTGACCAATGAACATTCTTGGTCGTTCTTCATCAGCAGAAAACGAGTAAGGTGTATGCAAATTCGTGAGCCCGTATTAACTAGTTTATATAGCAGTGTATATATGATATTTTAGTCATATTAGGAAATCTTAAAGGACGGTCAAGCAGATAATACGATTTAAAGATTTTGGATCGTATTTGAGTTAATCAAGATTCAAGTTTGTTGGGCTGGGTTTCATTTTAAAATCCAAATTTTAGCCCATTACTTAATGATTCAACCAAAATATTCGAACATCTGATTTTAAAAGTTACAAATTACGTTTGATTTATGCGTGACATCAAAACTGAAAGGTTTCTATGTCTATAAAACTATTTCCATTCCTTAATTTACATGTAGTTATCACTTTTGTTAGGGCTGGACTGCCCCTCGACAAAGTCCATTAAGTTCCCTCGACAAAGTCCACTGAGTAAACAAATTTAGTCATAGAAAGGCGTTAAAGAAAACTAAGTCGGCAAACAAACCTAAGGGCATCCACATCAATGAGGGTTCATTGAATCATTTTTTTATTATTAAAAATTTTCTATTTCTTTTTGATTTTTTTTTTTAAAAAAAACAAAAAGAAAACTAGACCAATTCCGAACCGCCACGTGTTGAATCTCAGGAGAGAGGGGTTCACCGCGGTGAACTTTAGGAGAGAGGACTTCATAGGTTTTTATTATTTAATTTTTTTTCTTGATTTCCGTGTGAACTCTCCTATGAACCTTCAATGGGGGTGCTCTAAGAGCATCCCCATTAGCTAACTTGGGGGGGTTTGATTCCCAAAATTATTATTTTGATTATTATTTTTTCGTTTAATTTAATAAAAAAATTAATAAACAAACCAATCGCGGGTTGCCACGTGTCGTAGAGCTCGCGAAACAGTGGTTGAACCCGCCTCTTACCATTAACCTCACGTGATACGGTTTCACCAAAATCAGCTTATTATATTTTATTTTTTTGGGAATTGTGTGAGCTTCTCTTATAAACCCCTAATGGGGATGTTCTAACTGACATCTTCCTCTATACAAAGTGAAAGTCGCTCAATAAGAACCAGTACTGATTCTTGGAAAGTGCAGAAATTGCATTTGCATTGGATCAAAACTTTTTTTATAAGATTTGAGCTAGTATTTACGGATTTTTTTTCAAAAACATTATTTTCCTTTTCACAAATTTATTTTAAATGTAGTTGTAAAATTAAGTTTATCAAGTTCCACATGAAAATAAACCGGGTTGATAAGAACTAGAGTTTATAACTTTACTTTATAATTGATGAGTCATCGTCTTTTAGTCGATTTCACTACTATTTCTTTATAATCAATCATAAAATTTCTAACAAACGTTTTAAAATACTTACCTATTAAATTCGTATTTTTATTTCAAACACTCCGAATTCACTAATAAACGTTTGCTTTCTCACAGCCCAACTAATTATATTTCCTAGAGGTCCAATTTAACAAAAGTGTTATTGTTGTTATCGCTAGTTTTTTTTTTGTCATCTGTTGTTATATTGATTCAAAAACTGATAAGCCAAAAAGCAAGTTACACACAGACTGTCGTAATGAAATGACATCATAATCTAGAGCAGACACTTTAGAGATGCAATCCTAGAGCCATAAGCTGATGATTACACACATATAATCCCAGAGACAATATTTGAACTACCATACACGGACAATAAGAACATAGTTAAAACCATAAGAAGCCAAAGCACAACCACTCTAAATAAGAGTCAAACCCAGCCATAGAGAGAACAAACCGGATCGATAGTTTATGTAAAACTGTTGTTGTAGATTGTGTCTCATAAACGCCTCTGCTCCCCGCCTCTTTCCAGATCCACTAAAACTCGCCATTGACCTCTGTAGAAGCTTCCCACGCGCCATATACGCATCTCAACACCACGGTGGAGCCAACCAAGTCTTACTTGAAGCACGCTCTCACTCAAACCAGCCGGTCTTTATAAATCAACCACCATGTACCGTAGATCTGTCGAGATCGAGGTTCATGGATTCCGATTTGAGACTCTCCGCTTCAAACAGAGAGGTGAAACTTCTAACCAGATCTGAAACCCTCTAGATAAATAAGCAAACCATAAACAAGACTGAATAAGAAGAAAAGGGGTATCCACCCTCTCACAATACCAACGGCCGGAGCCATCGATTGGAGAGGATGGAAAGACAATGACATTTTATTTTTTGCTCTCTCTATAGGGGCCAGTTATCTCTAGTTCGTTAGTTGGACATTTTAAATAAACATATTATATAATTTATATTTTAAACAAGGGTTTTATTTGTGTAAAAAGTGATTTTATACGTATAAAATGTTACTTTGTGTGTATAAAATATGAAACCATAGATATATAGTGCCTACAACTTAAAATATTATTTTTATGTATAAAATATGGTATTTATACATATATAGTTAAAAAATTTCCTCCCCGCGTACTCCTCAATTTTTTTTATGCTTTTAAGATAAATGGCTAGGTACGCATGTACCGCACGCGTAGCGCCTAGAGAATTTCCGAACACGGATTTTTAGTAATATTATATGTTTATAGTTCAAATAGGCACATTACTTTTTGATAAGAAATACTATTGTTTATGCATTGTGAATGACTGAAGGGGAATTGAAGTATCGAAAAGGAAAGACAATTAAAATGGAATATAGATATGTAATTGTTGTCTATCGTTCACCATATGTTGTCTATGATATTTTTGTGTGACACAAACAACATATTTGTATCCATCTAAATATTGTTTCGACAATTGCATCAATGGCTAAATCAATATGAACCATCGCTTTATCTAACATTATGTCAAAAATCAGCAAATGAACATAAACAAACTAAGCAAGAAAGAGAAGAGAGAGATTATATGGCGGTGACTGAAGCAATCCAGTTGTGATTGAGGATTTGTATTTTCATATTTCATCTTCTACAGCATTTCTCCATGCCACATATTTCATGTTAATTTTATGACATAAAACACAATACTTAATCCATGGATTTTGGCCACATTAAGTCATAGAAAAAGATTTTAAGATCAATACTACTATATCCCTAAAATTAGTAAAACAGTTATAATAATTTTTTTATTAGATTTTCATAATATACATAATTATCGGCAACTCTTTATAAAACAAATCTCTCAAACTATTAAATCAATAATCTCTATAAATTTTACTTCCAGTAACACCCCTTAAGTAGTCCACAAATACTTTATATAGGATACTATTATTTAATTTTATTCTTTTTTTTGGCAACACTATTATTTAATTTTATTCAAGAGATGAAATTCAAGCCAAATTATTCAAGTTATTTTCTAAAATAGTCTTGTCCATATTTTTCTATCTCGAGATCGAACACTATTCATATAAACTCAAACTTACCTCTCTGACAAAAGAATCCACATATTTTTCTTCATCGTTGAATTCCTCACCATAACCAAACTCAACATCTCCTTTATAACCACACTCAATACATGTTTGTAGATCCTAATAATGTTTCTTTCTTTCCACCGAAATCCTACCTCCCTGCACAAATTAAAGGTCTTGCTAATATTGGTATAGATAATGACATATGGGTCGTACCATTGGTACGAGTTTGTTTTTTGGAATAATATTGATGTTTTTGGTTTTTCTGGGCCTGCTTGTGAATATGTCTATTTGGTGTTTCGACAATATTGGTCACGATGGATGATATTATGGCTTTTAATAGCTGATGGTGTGTTAAGGTTTGGTTACTGGATGAGTTTCTGGTCTCAAATTATGAAGCACTGGTTTATAATGGAGTTTGGGCTGTGGTGGGTCTCATTAAACCAACCATTGTTTCCCCTTTTAATGGATTTACAATTATGAAGCAAGACTATGGAGGGTATGAGGCAGAGGAGAATCATAGATAAAGCTGCAAGTTTGGAGAAGACCTCATGTTTTTTCGGGAGGAGAACATTATTAAGCAATAACATTTTATGTTGGTCCTTTTGGCTTACTTTGGTAAGACAATTGTTTACGCAGAGATTTGGGTTTCATCATACCCTTATCTTAGGAGCTCTTGTGAGAAATTTTTGCTGTGTTTTATGAGGATATTAAGCTGGAATTGTAGAGGAATGGAAAGTAAATGGACAATTAGCTATCTGAGGGAAATATGGCACAAGCATAAACCGGATTTTTTGTTTTTATCAGAAACAAAACAAGATTTTGAGTTTGTACAAAGGTTTCAAACACATTTTGGATATGATAATTTGGTTACGTTGGATCACGTAGGCAGGAGTGGGGGCCTCGTTCTATTTACAAAAATGAGTATCAAATAAATATTTTATATTCTAGCAATCGGATGATTGATGTGGAAGCAGAGGCAATGGGGAAGAAGATTTATATGACCTTTGTGTATGGCGACCCGGTACAAGATTTACGGGAACAAGTCTAGGAACGTTTAACTCGATATTGTCTAGCAAGATCAAAACCTTGGTTTATCATAGGAGATTTAAATGAGATTACTGGAAATCATGAAAAGGAAGGGGGTGCGTTACAAAGTTTGGCTTCTTTTGTTCCTTTTAATAATATGATTCGAAATAGTAGTTTACTGAAATTCCCGGCTCGTGGGAACAAAATGTCATGGCAAGGAAGAAGAGGGAAAGGGACATGAGCGGTAATAATAAGGTGTCGTCTTGATCGTGCACTAGCAAATGAAGAATGGCATACATTATTCCCATGTTCCTATACATAATACTTGGGGATGGTTGGCTCTGATCACCCCCTAGTGATCGCATATTTAGAGGATAAACTTCAAAAACGGAGAGAACAGTTTCGGTTTGATAAGAAATAGATTGGGCAGGAGGGTTTTATGGAATCAATTATTGCTGGTTGGACAGAAGAACCTGAGGGACATGTGGGCAGTTTGGTCACAAAAATCAGTAATTGCCGTCATGAAATCGCAAAGTGGCAGAAAAACAATCCATCATATGGAAAGGAAAAAATTCAAAATCTCCAGCGAACGCTGGAAGAACTCCAAATGGATGATAACATGACACAAGAGGATATTTTGGAAGTATCTTGGAAATTACAAGATGCATATAAGGATGAGGAGGAATACTGGTATCAAAAGAGTCGTACTATGTGGTATTCTTCGCGGGATCTTAACACCCAGTTTTATCATGCTTTAACAAAACAGAGGCGGGTGCGTAACAGAATTGTGGGGCTTCAGATGATTCTGGAAATTGGGTAACAGAGGAACATGGGGTGGAACAAATAGCAGTGAACTATTTTGAGGAGTTGTTTACTTCTACTTCTCCCTCAGAATTTGATAGTTTCCTAGACAAAATCCCCTCCAATATCACAACAGAAATGAATCAAAGGTTGTTACGGATGGCCACAGAGGAGGAGGTTAGACATGCTTTATTTATGATGCATCCCTCGAAGGCACTTGGACCTGACGGTATGACAGCGTTTTTTTTTCCAGCACTCTTGGCACATTGTCAAAAAGGATTTGGTAGAGATGGTGAATTATTTTCTGGTTTCGGTAATTCTGGATCCTCGGTTAAATATTACTCATATTTGTATGATCCCGAAGACAGAGAGACCTATAAGGATGACCGATCTTAGACCGATAAGTCTGTGTAATGTTGGCTATAAGATCATCTCAAAAGTATTATGCCAACGGTTGAAAAGCTGTTTACCCAGGTTAATATCAGAGACCCAATCAGCTTTTGTCCCAGAGAAGTTAATTTCGGATAATATCCTCATTGCTCAGGAAATGTTTCATGGTTTGAGAGCTATTAAATCTTGTCAGGGGAAGTTTATGGCGATAAAAACGGACATGAGTAAAGCGTATGATAGGGTAGAATGGGGTTTCATTCAAGCATTGCTTCACAAGATGGGTTTTGATCCTCACTGGACAAAACTTATAGTGGAATGTATATCGTCTGTTCAGTATCGAGTTTTGATAAATGGTCAACCAAATGGGTTCATTCTACCGCAGAGAAGCCTCAGACAAGGGGATCATTTGTCTCCTTACCTTTTTATTATGTGTATTGAGGCTTTAATCACCAACATTAAAAAGGCAGAGAGGCAGAACCAGTTAACAGGAATGAAAGTTGCTAGAGCGTGTCCAGCGATATCTCATCTTCTTTTTGCATATGATAGTCTCTTCTATTGTAAGGCGCAGCCGGAGGAGTGTCAAGCCATTCTTACGATCCTTAAGGAATACGAGGCTGTTTCAGGACAATTAATTAATTCCAAAAATCTTCAATTCAGTTTGGTCACCGGACCGGGGAAGAAAACAGACAGGAGTTAAGGAGCAGTGGCTTGTATTCCGGTGAGTGACGTGAGATTCTGGTGAGAGGTGTGAGCTTGGTGAGTGTTTCCATAGCTTGTAATCGGTTTCCTTTCTCCAGAGACGTACCAAGGGTGTTCGTTAATACCCCTTGGGAACTCTATTTCTCTGTGTCATTTTCATATCTGCAAAACAACAAATAACTAACATCATCAACATAAACCTAAAAGATGACTTAGATAACTTGATTCACAAGGAGCAGTGGCAAGGAAGTCTTCAGGTTATATCAAGATGGATGCTGATTAAGATGCTTGGAGGAAAACTATTTTCAGGTTATGGGTGTTGAGTGGTGAAGCTCAAAGTGAGATAAAGCTGGATGGGTTTCATTCAGAAGAGTATGAAGCTGAGAAGATGCAGAACCTGTAAAGAGTTGCAGAAGATGAGTAGTATTGCTTTAGTACTGGAGAAAAGCTCAGAGAGGAGTTAAGTCATGAAATAGATCAATGACAAGGTGGAGATTTGTAGGTTTGTGTCATCTGATCTCTTGATGATGCTAAGTCTCATAAAGTCTCTTTGCCAATGAGAAGGTTTCACTTGAGTTGAACATGTGAAATACACGTGAGCTGGATTCTTTGGCAATTAGGAAGCGAGGTCAGAAGTGTAATTTGACCAAGGGAGCTGAAGATATTTTATCTTCATCAGATCGTCATCTTCAACGGAACGAGAACGATCTGTAACAAACCAGAGACTTAGTAGAGTCATCTTCTTCCTGTGACTCCAAGAGAGAGAGAGAGAGCTTGGTGAGTGTGAGAGCCTCTCGGTTTCCTCTTGTATATTCTCTTATCTCTTTGTAGCTTGAGAGATCCATTGTAAACACCTTTGATCGGTTTGATCGGTTCTAATGGAAAGGTGAGAGACCTTCTTCTCTCCCCGGAGATATATAGCTCTCTTCCACATCGGAAGAGGAGGTGAACTCCGGGTCAACAAAAATCTGTGTGTCTCTTTGTGTTTATGATTATTGCTTGAAGTAGATCGATGAACTTGACATAGGTGAATCGGGAATCGATTCTCAATAGAAATCCATAATACAAAAATAATCTAGTATAAATGGTAAAAGTTGTAGACTGATGTACAAAAAAGAAGATGTGAAGAAACCCATAAGAACAAAGACTGATTTGTAAAACATATATTGTTTGTTGAAAAGATTTTAAAATATTTGTTCAGAAAAAGTGATTTATTTGAAAAAGTGAAGATCATGACTTTGATCAAGAAACAGTTTAGAGATCTAAGTAATTTTTTTCAGTAGAAGAAATGTTAAATATATTATGCTTTTTAATTTTAGTTTGAAATTATATGAAACACAAGTTATGTGTCAGAATTTGATTGACCATGTGACTTGTATTTTGGTATAAAGGATGAAGAATTTTTCTTCAAATCACTAAATATGCAAAAAAACCATTAGAAAGAAAAATAAAAGAGTGGAGGAGTTCTATTAGACCCATGATCTTATTCAATGGCTCAAAACTGTCCTCAAGTCTTATTCCACCAGATGATTAGTTACATTTATTTTTTTGGACATGGCAAAACCAACTCAACTCATTCACAGTAGTATTTTCAACCCAATATTTACAGAATAATCAAAAGGTGTCTTTTTTTTTGTAACATCAAAAAATGTATATCTTTATAAACTAAAGTCTATGTTGTAAAATGCTTACCTAAAACTGTTACATTATGCTATAAACTCTTAGAAATCATAGTATCTGTATATATATTAAGCTTATGATTAATAATAACGAGAACTTTCAGCTTATAATTTCATCAACATCAAGCACTACTCTGAAATAATACTATTTTTCCTATTTTTAGTCGCAGTTACATTCAAAAATATGTTTTTAATTGGTTTTACATTCTTGTAAATTATCTGTCACAAAGTCTACTCACTAAATACAAAACTGATTATGAACAAATCAGAACTTTTTGTGGTTTCGATGTAATAGTTGGAATCTGGTAATAGAGATCTGGAAATTACACTAATAAGTATATATTAAAAACATAGAACTGTTGTAAATCTAATAGAAAAGTGCGTTGAGGAAAGGACGTAGAGGAGGCATGCACACACACGTGAGAGGCAAACACTGTAGTTTAGCCGCAAGAATCTCGTTCCCTGTTTTATTACAAGGTCAACTTCTGGTCTCTCTCTCTTCACTTCTAAATCTAACTTAATTAATATTAATCTACTTATGTAGTAGATTCTGATTTCAAATCTAAACCAATAAATAATTCAACAAACGTAACTTCAAATTTTCAAAATTTTAATTATATAAAAAAGCCCTCAGGTTTATGATCACACACCTCACATAGATGCTTCTTTCTTCTACTTACACTATAAATTAATCTTTCTTTAACTCATCACTTAAACTCACGACTTGTAATGGCGTCGATCACCTGTTCCTCTGATCAACGTCTCTCAACAAGCAAGAGACGTTTAAAGCCGTTGATGCTAAGAGACTACTTACTCGATGATCTCAGCTCTTGTTCATCCAACGGCTTTAAATCTGTCCCACGTCGTCCACCTCCTCTCTCCTCATCATCTTCCACCGTTCGTCGTCTCCTTGACGCCGAGATCAAACGGTCAGGATTGATCCATCATCATCAACACAAGCCGCGTCTCACTAAAAGAAGCCGTACAACTTGCGGGACGGCGATCAGCCACGCCGTTCATAAAGCTTCAACGGCGTTTCTTAACGCCGTTAAGCTTTTACCGTTCCATGCAACCGCCACGTCTGGGAAGGGAGATCAGAAACAACAAGGCGTTCTCTCTAGAAGCTTCTCTAAACGGCGCTTCTGGAGAAAACCTGTAAGTCAATCTCGCCGTGAAGTAACCGTCATTGACGTCGGAGACGACGGAGAGATCCAATGGTGGAGATCCGCCGCGTTTTTCCCGGACGAAGAGAGTTTAGATCAACCGTCCGATATGTTCTCTCAAATCTCAACCGTCGCCGACGAAGCAACATTCTCAATCTCTGAAGATGCGGCGATTACCACCACGGTTAAGATTATCTCCGGCGGTGACTTTTCGAGTTCCGGTAGGGAGTTTTTCACGAACTCGTCGTCGTCGGAGGTTGTACAGTCATCTTCTTCGTCGAGCGGTGAATCTGAGGAAGTGTTGAACGAAAACGACGCCATGGAAGTCGGTGATGAGAGCGGAAAGAGATTAAACGCACGTGACTGTGACGGATCATCTGTCAACCGCAACAGCCAGTGTAACAGAAAGGTTAGTTCGTTAAAAGATCGTTTTCGTTCCTCGGTGACAACTGTATAGTGTGAATGCATTTGAATTTGTTTTTTATTTAATTAAAAAGAGGTCAGATATTGAAACTTGTCGGGGAACGCGTGCGAGTCACGTGTGGGGTAGGATTTAGATTATCGATGAAATCGAGGGCTGAGACTCTTCATACGTAGTTTCTAATGCGGATTATACGGCACATGATCGCGAGAGTTATTTTTTTTGGTTACATGGTACTACACGTACCAGTTAGATACGCATATCTTCAGTCATTTACATTGTAGTAGTTACCATATATAAGTATGAAGTTTTTTATTATCAGTTTCTCACCCATGTTCATGAAATTTGCAAACAAATAAATAAAATCTTTGATGATTAATTCTTGGATTTGATACTTTGTTAAATCATTTTTAAATACCATAATCTAAATCAAATCAAACAGAAGAGTTAGGATATGATCATAACTATCAAAGTGGTGGCATTGACAGATAGGTAGAGAGTCATGATGTAGTCATGGGATGGTTGAGTTTCGTCAACTTATTTAATGCCACTATGTTTTCTCTCATCATTATTGTTTTTTTCTTTGTTGAGACAACACTTTGTATAGTTATTCTTTATAATGTTGCTGATTACATGTGAATTTAAGTTTATTTTAATTGAATTTTTCTTTAGGAATGTGTCAATGAAGAAAAAGAACAACTCAGTCCAGTATCAATCTTGGAATGCCCTTTTGAAGATGATGAAGATGATGAAGGCTATACGATCACTGATCTTATCTCCCACCATAATGGTAACTTTTTCAAAAGACCATTCATCAATATTTAACAAATTGTTATATAATACAAGAGAAAGATGACTTTGTAACTGACTTCAGAAGCTAATATTGGCAGATACATATGAGGAAGCTGCAAGAAAAGGCAGAAGATTAAATGGTTTGGTACGGCTTGAGCCACTAGACTTAGAGAAACGCATAGAGAAGTATGTCAAGAGAGAAAAGGAAGAAGTAGAGTACTCATATCAAGCGCTAGAAACCGAAGAGGATGAGGATGAATTAGAAAACCGAGCAAACCGCTTGTTTGCTCTTGTGAAGTCGAGAGTCGGCGAAACAATTAACATACTAGCTTCTAATCTAGCGAATAATCTATTGTTAGATTATCTTCAGGAAGATAATATTGGGGAAAAAGAAGAGACAATAATGGTGAAGAAAGTAGAGGATTGGGTGATGGATAGACAAGAAGAGATGTTCATGAGTTGGGAAGTGAGAGAGAAGAGAGAGGTTTACTTGAAGGAAATGAAATGGGGTTGCATTAACGGAGATGAGAAAGAGAATGTGGTTGAAGAGTTGGCTAATGGTTTATGCACTTGCTTGGTGAATGAACTCATCTTCAACTTAGCTTCCTGATGATGTTTAAAGCTTTTTGGGGGAAATTAAAATTTTGATATTTTATAAAGATTAGATTTCACAATGTATTAGATATATATTATCTCGAATAAAACAATATGTAGTTTAGCATAAGAGGGGAGTGATTCGTATAAAAAGTTTATAGAATCCACAATGTACTAGATATATGCTATCTTGAATAAAGTTATACTCCCTACGTTTCATATTAAGTGTCGTTGTAGAGAATTTTTTGCGTTATAAAATAAGTGTCGTTTTCGGTTTTCAATGCAAAATTTATTAATATTATTATGTACTTAGTTTTTCTATTGGTTGAAATATGGTTAGGTGTATAGGTAATTGTGTTTTTATATAGGAAATATGTAAAATTAATTATTTCCTTAATCCGTGTGCATAGCTGTAGAGTGACACTTATAATGAAACAGAGGGAGTATTTAATTTGGCAAAAGAAGAGCAATTCATATAAAATGCTTATATCAAAACATTAATAAAAAATATATGATGTAAGATAATATTTGACTGATGAAAAAATATTTTGCCATTTTCTAGATGAATATTAAAAATAATGTGACATACTTTTCAAAATTTAAAAGAAAATATTAGTTTTTAATTTAAATTTGAATGACCGAGTTTTGGTATTGAATTTGATCACCAGTTTCGGTGAATTTTCTTGATATTTACCATTTTGGTTTAATTTAAGTACAAGTTTTAAGACTATTTTTAAAAATACATAATTTTGAGGGAAAACATCAAATAATAAGGGAGAATTTTTTATTTAAAATTAATTCTTAAATTTGTATATAGTTTTATATATATCTAACATTTTAGATAAATTAATATATATAACTTTAAAAGCAGATGAGATATTTTAGTAAGATAATAAAAATAATCAACAAAATAAACATATTTAATAACTCATACTAAAACTACATAATAAAGAAAAACGCACATTACTGTACGTACCACTCCATGAGTCCGATTGGCGTTAGGCTTTAGAGGCTTTGACTTAATTCTAAAGTTCTTAAAGTCTATTTTTTACCAATCAGACTTTTTCTAATTTTAGGGATTCTAAAGTTCTCAAAGCCATTATCCATTTCTCTTTCTTCTTTTTCAAAGAAAAGTCTACAGCTTCTTTCACGTGACTTTACAAGCAAAAATCAATTTTTTCTTTTATCTTTATTGTAAAAATAGTTTTCCACCCCACCCCACAAAAACTAAAATACTTATTCTGCTTTATATTAATTTTNATTTTTTTTCTTTATTATTGTCACAATTTTATATTTATAATGAAAATTTTAGAATATTATTTATTATTTTTATGATTTTAATTATTATTCTTGACATTTTAAATAATTAAAATAATACTGACAGTTTTAACAGTCAAAAATCTCTACAGCCAACATCCTAAAGCAACAACCTAAAGCGAAAGTCCGTACCAATCGGACCCCATAATTGTGAGATGTTTACTGTAGATGTGGTTTTGTAAAAAAATAGAAGAAACAAAAAAAAAAGATTTTTTATTATTTTAGACAAGTGTATTATTTGTTTACGTCTTGTTAATCACAATTTTTATGAATAGTGACAAAAGCATTATTTCTCTCTTCTCAGCATAAAAATGCCCCGTTTTATGATTATCATTCTCAACCTATAAGTATGAAGCCAAAGTCAATGGTCGTCATATTTTATCTTTGACAAGAGGTCGATAAGACTGGCCTCACGGCCCTCACCTTGGTGATATGAGCCGACAAATATTCCAAGTGGTTCCTGTTGTGAATTGTGACACTCAACAATATGAATGGAGGTAAACCGGAGCTGGTTTATTGCCTCATTTGGTACAAGAATAGAAGAAGGTGATAACTGGGTTGGTTATTGAAGTCGGCTTGTATTCAAGATGTAAAGGTCTCGTCTATATATGTGACTTGAGAAGGAAAGTCTGTTACTTAGAAGAAAAGGAGGAAAGGCTTTACGGAATCAGAGAGAGAAGATAAGAAGTGTTCTTGAGCTTAGGTTTAAGTCTTTTGATTCATTTTTGTATATTCTCTTGGAGTGATTAGTAAAGTACTTAGCTTGTATCGTCAAGCACCCAGACGTAGATAGTCTCAAGGGAGGATCGAACTGGGAAAACAAATCTGTGTGTTGTTCATTCTTTTCTTTCAATCTTGGTTGCAAACGAGAGAGGGAGAGATAGTGAGGTTAAACATTCTTTGAGTGATTGTGAGCTCAAGATTACAAATTGATTTCAAGTGTGATTGATTCGTAACAAAGTGGTATCAGAGCCAGGTTCATTGGATGAAGGAATCGATGGCGAAAGTGAAGAACGCGTGTTTCGACGGTAAAGGGGATTTCTCGATGTGGAAGAAACGTATGATGGCGCATCTCTCTATCCTTGGGCTTAAGGATGCATTAATCGAAGCGCCAGCGACGTCTGAATCATATGTCATGATAAAGAAAGGTGAAGATGAAGAAGATTTTAAGGAGCGAGTCAAGAAGCTTGAAGAAGAGAAGGCGGAGAAAGCTGAAAAGGCGATGAACATGATCATCCTGAATCTTGGAGATCATGTACTGAGGAAGCTTGAGGAGTATACATCGGCAGCTACAATTTGGTCTGCTCTTGAAAGGTTGTATAATTCCAAAACTTTACCTAATAGAATTCATCTTCAACACAAAGTTTATACGTTTAAGATGATAGATACAAAATCTATTGATGAGAATATAGATGATTTCTTGAAATTAGTCTCTGGGTTAAGCAGTGTGAATGTTTCTGTTTCAGAAGAGGTACAAGCTATACTGTTGATGATTTCGTTGCCTCCTCAGTATAATCAGCTCAAAGAAACATTGAAATATGGAAGAGATTCGCTTACAATAGAAGATGTGACCAATGTGGCTAAGTCAAAGGAGATAGAGCTAAAGGAAGTAGGTGAATCAAGTACTTCACAAAGGTCAGGAGAAGCGTATGTCACTCGTGGAAGACCAGAAAGAAGAGATAACTCACGAGGACGAGGGTCAAACAACAAGTCAAGATCCAGATCAAGGTCAAAAGTAACTTGCTGGTATTGCAAGAAGGAAGGTCATGTTAAAAAGGACTGCTTTGCAAGGAAAAGGAGAATGGAGAATGAAGACAATGGAGAGGCTGCAGTGATGATAGATAAACTGCAGGAGATAGATGCATTAACTATCTCAGATCAAGATCCCAGAGACAACTGGATCATTGACTGTGGTTGTTCATATCATATGACTTCAAGAAGGGAGTGGTTCTGTGAGTTCTCTGAAGCAACCGGTGGCCAAGTGTTACTTGCGGATGATAGAGCAGTCTCTGTACAAGGAATAGGCTCAATCAGAATTAATGCTCTAGGAGGAACAGTCAAGAGACTATCAAATGTCAGGTATGTTCCTAATCTCAAGAGAAATTGAATTTCTGTGAGTTCTCTTGATATGCAGGGGTTTAAACAAGAAGGTGGAGGTGGAAAAACCAAGTTATATAAGAATGGAAGGCTAGCTCTACAAGGAACTTTATGTGGGAGTCTCTATCTTTTGGATGGGGATACGATAAGTGCAAGTGCAAACTCTGTTGTATCAAAAGATGATACAGCCTTATGGCACAGCCGGCTAGCTCACACCAGCATCAAAAATCTGAGAGTGCTAGTGGAGAAAGGTATACTCGACAAGAAGAGGATAAGTGACTTAGAGTTCTGTGAAAGCTGCATCATGGGTAAGAACAAGCGTCTAAGCTTCAATGTCGGTAAACACAATAGTTCAGAGGTACTGAGGTATATTCATTTTGACCTTTGGGGTTCTCCTAATGTTCATCTGTCTATATCTAGGAAGCAATACTTTCTTTCTATAATAGATGATTATTCTAGGAAAGTATGGGTTTACTTCTTAGCTACTAAGGATGAATCGTTTGATAAGTTTTGCGAATGGAAGAGCTTAGTTGAGAATCAAGTAGATAAGAAGGCCAGGTGTCTTAGAACTGATAATGGTCTTGAGTTTTGTAATATTGCTTTTGACGGTTTTTGTAAGAAAAATGGCATTGAAAGACACAGGACATGCGCATATACCCCTCAACAAAATGGATTAGCTGAGCGCATGAACCGGACAATCATGAAAAAGGCCAGGTGCTTACTTAATGAGTCGGGGCTAGAAGAGAGATTCTGGGCAGAAGCTGTTGCTACTGCAGTCTACATTATCAATCGTACACCTTCATCGGCAAATGACCTCAATATACCTGAAGAGTTATGGCTTGGAAAAACACCAGGATATAGGCATCTTCGAAGATTTGGTTATGTGGTGTATGTTCACGTTGATCAAGGGAAGCTGAAACCACGAGCTCTTAAGGGTGTTTTCATCGGCTATCCAACAGGAGTCAAAGGCTATAAGGTTTGGCTTATACAAGAGAAGAAGTGCATCATTAGTAGGAATGCAGTATTCCGTGAAGATCTTTTATACAAAGATGTGTATAAAACTGCTAGTGTGGGAGAATCTTCAGATATGGGACAGGTCAAGAGTTTTGTGGAGGTTGGAGAAATTTCAGAAGCAGTTTCAGAGATTCAAGAAGCAGGTGGAGTAGATCAACAAACTTCAGAGGCTGGAATCGAGGAGACAGAAAGTTCAGAGGACTTGAGTAATTACCAACTAGCCAGAGACAGAGTCAGAAGGGTGATTGTTAAACCTGCAAGATTTACAGAAGATTCTGCAATAGCGTTTGCACTTTCAGTTGCCGAAGAAATAGAAATTGAAGAGCCTAAAGACTACAGTGAAGCTGTAAGATGTAAAGACTGGAAGAAATGGAATAGTGGAATGGATGAAGAGATGGGATCTCTAGAAAAGAACAAGACGTGGAACTTGTGTGCGCTACCTAAAGGAGAGAAAGCGATTGGGTGTAGGTGGCTTTATAAACTTAAACCGGGAATTCTAGGTGTTGAAGAACCGAGATACAAGGCCAGACTTGTGGCCAAAGGTTACTCTCAACGTGAAGAGATTGACTATCAAGAGATATTTACTCCGGTGGTTAAGCATGTTTCAATCAGATTGATGCTGTCTATTGTTGTAGATAAAGACTTGGAGCTAGAGCAGCTCGATGTGAAGACATCATTTTTACATGGAAAATAGGTGAGGATATCTATATGGATCAGCCAGAAGTGTATGTTGTGAAGGGTCAAGAAGACAAGGTGTATAAACTGGTAAAGTCGTTATATGGCTTGAAGCAGGCACCTCGGCAATGGAACAAATGTTTCGATCAATTCATGTTGAAGAATGGTTTTTGAGAAAAGTGAATATGACTTGTGTGTGTACTTCAAGAAGATACATGGAGGTGAGTATGTTTATCTACTCCTATATGTCGATGATATGCTGTTAGTTGCAAAGAAGATGGATGACGTTTTAGAAGTTAAAGAGATGTTGAAGACTCAGTTTGATATGAAGGATCTCGGCTCAGCAAAGAGAATCCTTGGCATGGATATAGAACGTGACAGAGCAGGTGGAGTTCTTAAACTATCTCAGTCCAAATATTTGAAGAAGGTTTTATAGATATTTAGAATGGATGAAGCTAAGGCTGTGACAACACCAATAGGAGATCAGTTTAAACTGAAGTCACTGGAAGAAGGAGAACAAGGTCTTATAGGATCGGATGTTGAGGTTCCTTATTCAAATGCAGTTGGGAGCATCATGTATGCTATGATGTGTACGAGACCCGACCTTGCATTCGCTGTAGGTCTTGTTAGTAGATTTATGAGTAACCCAGGGAGTGAGCATTGGCAAGCTGTGAAGTGGGTGTTACGATATATAGCTAATACTCAGGAAGTGGGATTGGTGTTTAAAAAGGGATCAGGAAAGTTCGTTGTGAAAGGTTATTCAGATTCGGATTTTGGAGGTGATCTAGATCGAAGAAGATCAACTACAGGTTTTGTGTTTACAGTCGGTGGTAATACTGTTAGTTGGAAGTCAGGTTTGCAGCGAGTGGTAGCTTTGTCAACTACAGAGGTAGAATACATCTCTTTAGTAGAAGCAATCAAGGAAGGACTGTGGCTAAGAGGGTTGAGAGAAGAATTGGGTTCATGGGATATAGTCTTGGGTTTTCTTTTGTTTTTAAAACAAATTATATGGTTTGGTTTTGGGATTAGTATTAAGGAAAATTCCAAAAAACATTGAATAAACTTTCCACCTTACTAGATAAAAAAATCAATTATTATTTTCAGGCCCAAAATTTAATATTTAAAAAAAAAACAAAATTATCTTTTATTAATCATTTATTTAAATCATGTACTTTAAAACATGTTAATGTATTTCTTATTTTAAATAACAATCACTTTTTTTTTGATAAATTTCAATGGTAAATTTTAAATAATTTATTGTTTTATTTTTCTTAAATAATTTATAGATTTAAAAAAATATGTAAAGCAAAACCAAAAACTAAATCTAAAAACTAAAATCCAAACCAAAAGCTGAAAACGCAGGTTATATTTTTTGCTTTTGTTTATTTAAGAAATAAACTATTGCAAATTTTTTTTAAAAAAAATTTGTCATATTTTCAGTTTTAAATTAGATGTTTGATTATTTGAGATTTGGTTGTTGGTAATATCAGTTCAAACTAACTCAGCGGGTCAAAAAATTAAAAATCTCAAACCAAAACCTGAAAATCAAAAATATAAACTTAAAACTAAAAACCAAAATTTTAAAACAAAATCTGAAATTAAAAAATGAAACTAAATACTAATGAAAAATAATCATCACCACAAACTTTGGTGAATTGATTTTATACCAAAAAAAATATTTAAATTAAGACCCAATTATATAAATTTTTAATCATAAAAAATTTTCGCGCTTTCAAGTTCGTCAAAATCTAGTTTATTTTAAATGAAAGAGAACCTTTCAATTCGTCTCTTAATAAAGTTTTTATCTTTTCAAAATTAAACTTTTGTTTTGAAGAAAGCCAACAAAAAGCCCTAAATAAAAAGACCCTGCTTTTGGCAGCTGCCTCTTTTTATCTCTCCTTCCGCCGAGTAAACGCAGCGACTGACTGAATCAATCATGATGAGGGGACTAAAACGCGCCGCTGTTTCCGAATCGTTTCCAGAAGCCAACGAATCTCCCGTGAGTTTTTCTTTTCTCTGCGGTTGAATCTCGTTAAGATTTTCGGTATTGAGTGGATTCTCTGTTATTTTCTTGTTTTTCTTTTCTCGGTTGAAAAATCGAAACTTTTTGTTATTTTCTTGGTGGGTGTTGATGAAAAATCAATATTTTCTATCGATTTTGGGTGATGTTCAATAAAGTCGGCACCTTTAGATGTAAGCAGTCTTGGGGTCATTGTATTTAGTTCTTCAAGCAGCTGCTTTAGTTTTTCGATTTTTGAGTTTTCTGCTTACTGCACAACCTGATATCGAACTGGTTCTGTCGCAACTGCACCATTAGCTAATTTTGAAAGAGAAAATTGCAGTTTAAGAATGCAAAACCAGTGGAAGGATCCCTGTTGTCGGCATCATTGGACAAACAGAGGGCTGAGTTAGCTAGGAAGCATGTGAGAGCTCTTAATAACCAATTTGTAAGGTGAAAACAATTGTGTTTTGACTGAGATTATACATTATTTCTGTTGGGTCTTCTATATAGTTTATGTAACATGCTTATTGTTTTGTTTGCTTCAATAGTTGGGTGCAAATACAGCTGAAGAACCATCCTGATGAACTTTGGGAAGATGGGATGAATGACTACATTAGCCATGCTTCCAACATTCTGGTAATATTCTCTAATCACATCACTTTCCCTCTCTAACTCTTGAGAAGGTATTTGGTTTGATTTCTCCTGAGTTTAGAGGCTTCTTTTCTCCGATAACAGAGCCTTCATTAGTATGGTTTTGTTTTGTCCACTCATCACTAATACCCATTTTCTGTCGTGTCTTATGTTTCTATGTCCATAAGGATAAAGCAGCTAACTCTTTGAGTTACTTGCTTTTTTTTTGTGTGGTAAACCCTTTATTTAGTTCGCTAGCTCATACATGTTTCTTCTTCATGCCGATCTCACTTACAGGAAAAGTTTAAAGATGTTGTCAACTGGCTCAAAGAAAATAAGGGAAAGGCGGAGAGTGCATCCCCTGAATCTCGTGGACCAGAGAAGAAACCAGTGGCGGAAGTCAAGAATAGCGACGCTAAACCAGTTTCAAATAACAGCTTGTTTACTTCAAACAATCAACCTGGGCTGTTTTCAAACAATCAATCTTCCAGTTTTTCCAGTAGTGGTTCGTTTTCAAGCCAGCCTGAAGTATTCTCCAGCAGTCCATTTGGTTTAGCATCCAATAGCCAAACTGGATCTTTTAGCAGTGGCCAGTTTGGTTTAGCATCAAATAGCCAAACCGGATCTTTTAGCAGTGGCCAGTTTGGTTTAGCATCAAATAGCCAAACCGGATCTTTTAGCAGTAGCCAGTTTGGTTTAGCCAAGAGCAGCCCACCTAGCCTATTTTCCAGCAGTCAAACAGGTGGAATCTCTAATAGCCAACCTTCTTTCTCATTTTCCAATAACCAAAACCCTTTTTCATCTGGAGGTACCTACTTTCCCATTAGCAAATTGCATTTTTTTACGAACTTGTCATTGATCAGTTCAGTATCTGTATGACAATAGTTTATCTTAGACCCCTAATCATTACTTTTGTTTGCGGGTAATAGTTACGCCAGTGTCCATACCGGCAAAGCGAGACTCTCCAGATGATGCAGAGGCTGGTAAGTTTTTTAACCACTGCAAAACTGATTTAAAACCACTATTGTCATATATTGTTCAAAGTTCAACTTATAAAACTCAAGGCGTAATGGGCTTGTAAAGTTGGATTCTTTTCTCTGCAGAAGATGAACCACCTCAACCGAGCAGCCCATCTGTCAAAAAGACCGAAGAGAAGGGTGTTACTGTGGTTCATGAAGTCAAATGCAAGCTTTATGTCAAGGTATTTGTTATCTAAAACTTGGATGTATCTCTATACTTGATCAATCAAATTCACTATACTGTTCCGAATAAGTTGCTGTTGTTTATGCATATCTCGTTGTGTAATATGAATAAAACCATGACCAGGACATAGCATGACGAATGAAACCACTAAATGTTGTTAGATCTGGAGATGTTATTCTTTCTTAAACTCTTATTATGTGTCATAGTGCTTGTGAAGTAGTTTAATCTCTCTATTTTCCTTACATTGATGTTCTATCCTTGCTAATGACCGTAGTAACCTTTGTGTCAATGTAGGCAAATGACCCAACAGATAAAGGTGCATGGAAAGATAAAGGAACGGGGAATCTCTACATAAAATGCAAAGAAGGCGTTGACAAGGGGACAAAAGAATCTAAACCCACTATTCTTGTCAGAAACGATGTATGATTCTGTACACACAAACACCTTCACACACAACTTGGTCTACAGATTCTAAACCTTTTGTTTTCTCGCCAGGTCGGGAAACTGCTTCTGAATGCTCTACTGTACACTGGAATCAAGACGAGCGCACAGAAGAACGCACTTGTTGCAATATTCCACTCATCGGTATATACCGCTTAAGCCTTTTTCTTTAGAATTCTCATGGTGGTTTTGTATTTTCGTTGATTTTATCTTACCTGCAACAGGAGGATTCCAATGAGAATGTAACACCTAGAACCTTTCTGATAAGGACAAAGACAGCAGAGGCTAGGGATAAGTTAGCAACAGCCATCCAAGAATACGCACCTTCTTCATAAAATGCCGAAGCACAGGCTGAGATCTTTACTCTACCACCTTTGTTAATCTTTTATTGAGCCATCCACTCTATTTTTGTCTCCCTTTGTTCTGTAATATTAGGAAGGCTTGATAAAATTCATACTCAGTGTTGTATGATTTATAGAGAGAATGTGAGAGAAGATAGCCGAACTTATTCTGTAAGCCTAATAGAGAATGTTGTTCCAGTCTTTCTAACTTAAAACTCGAAAACAATAAATCATTCCTTTTTTTATATATTAGTAATCTGATTAATGCAAACAAAGAAGCAGAGTGGCTACTACATACATTACATATCTAAATTTATACAAAATGATAGAAAAAATAATAGAGGATCCGTGAAGATCAATACTTAACACTCTCCATTTTGCTTCTGTGATCTATGAATAACGAAATGATCCACTACTTTCACGGTAGAAACAGGGTCTTGTTGCGCCGATGATGCACACCATTTACTTGGAAATTTTCTCTTATGGCTCATCACCCCAGTCTGTTTTGGCTCTGCATCCCAATCTGTGTCCAGCTTCCAGTCTTTTGGTACCTAAACGCATATCATATACACCAACCTCTTGTTAAAGTACAACAAAGATGCATTTAATAACTACGAAATCAACAAAGCAATTACAAGATCCATAAAGATGGGTTCATGTTCATTTTACTATCAGCACTATCAGTTATGTAGCAGCTGTTGAGTGTTCTCTTTTCTTTACCTTATCAACCGCGAGAGTGAATACTTCAATGTCTTTATTCTTTTTGATGTGAAAACGGGTGAAAGATTTGTAATTGGCAATGCGGAGTGAAGAGAAAGCTTCATCGAAGTGAATGTGGAGCCAGTTGATGCAGATATACAAGTAGCTTCCAAACACCAAAGACACCACAGGTGTTGAAAAGACCCAGAAGTAAAGGAAGACAGAAGCATAATAAATAACAGCTCCGCTTCGAGAGAGCGATTCCATTCCTTCTTTGCAAATGTTGGCCCGGGTAACCGCCATCACCTGATGTTATACCACTCATGTCGGTATTTCAAATTGGGAATTTTGGATTATAGAAGTAAACACAAAAACACAGCAATTACCTCAGGGACATCAAATGCTGACATAAGATACTTGATGCATGCGGGATAAAGACCAAACGTCCATTGTTCGATACGGGCTCGAAGGCCAGTAGGGTCCGGAAAATGCTCGCTTTCCACTGATTTGTACCACTGATACAATGTATGATACCCTGTGTGAACAGAAATTTCATAAAACAAATCAATGGCTAATTCACACACAAATTTACTGAGTCACTTATTTTCCATTGGCCTCGATGACAATGTAGTGGATCGGAAACTGACCAGAGTTTGCAAGGAGATTGTGTTGAACACAGATTTCTATGCCCAGTTCCAACATCAACATTAGAATCAGAGCTGCCATCAGGTGAGCAGCAACATGAAGAACTCCAATCATCACCCTTCTCTTCCGAGATAATTTTGAAGGGACAAATATGATTCCGGAGATCAGCAAAACCAGTACACCCGTAAAAGACACGTAAGATTGTTCCATCACATACACAAAGGCGCTCCAAACTGTGCCTAAGAAACTCTCCACGTGACCAGAAAACGAGTCACCTCGCAAGATGTGTGCTAGCTTACACTGAAACCAACGATAAACACGAGAAGGAATGAGAATAGCAATTTTCTTGTGAGTAAGATAGGTCTCAAGGAAAAATAAATATACATCTATGCAATAAAAGAACACACTATGCATATAAACACCAGCTCAACTTCCCTATCTAGGATGTTGTGCATTGTTTAAATAGGACAATCTAACTTAAAACGCACCTGGGGGAACAATGAAAAGACCAAGATAAAGTATATAATGCCACCAATGATATCAAACTGCCAGTTCTTTTTCCGGAACTTCAAAATATTTCCCAAAGCAATCTGCCAGCAGCAGAATACACCATATAACATCGGAATGTATAAACAGAAGTTAAGTTAGTGACAAGAGACTGGAAAAAACAAACTATTACCTTGCTTGAATCATGAAAGGAAGGGTAGGCAGCCTTGCTTACATACGAAGCCCCATAGAACTTGGAAAATTTGCTGAACACATGGGTGGGATGCAGAAAAGCTCCTCCACAACCATTTACAAGAAGATGTTGCACATGAGCAGGTCCATCTGACAGAGTACAGGAATGTCGCATATAATGATGCAAATCCCCTGCCATTCTAAGTTTACACCTGTATTTCAAAACGTCGCAGATCAGATGCCTTACGTTCTTCCCTGTATCGCTGCTCCAATACCAATCAAGAAGCCAGCTGGGTTCATGAGTGATAATGATCACTGCATCATCCTCCTTAACCTGAATGAGAAAATATATATTCTACTTAAGTAACTTTACGAAAATTTGAGTAATATGAAATCACTACGCACTAAAATATAGCCTAAACCACTTTCAGTGATTACTTTAGAAACTAAAGACAACGCAAACTCACTAAGTCGCAACAAAATAATGGTCGAACTGGAGTAGAAACGAAGAATATAGCATAGTGTCAACAAATCTATAAAAATATAACGTAGCGTCAACAAAACTATACACGAATTACCTTCTCCTTCGCCAATTCAGAAAAAAATTTAAACTGGTCGACATCAATATCACCATGAAGTGCAAGATCCAAACCAAACACCCACCATCCCTCAGGTAGCTGCAGGGCAAAATAGCTTTTCTTCTGAGGCATAAACCAGCCGCCTAACCAACTCTTATGGCATATATACCTCATGAATGTATTGAGTCCGTCAAACCAGTCTGCCATACAATAACCAGTAACTCTATAGTCAGATGAATTGCAGAATAAACCTAATTAAGTATGTGAAATAACTTATTACAAACGTTAAATGAGGGTAGGACCTAGACTCACCATGGTTTCCAGGGATGAGAAAACATTGTGGACCATCATAATCCTTTAGATCTTTCACTCCCTCAGGTAATTCAGGTTTGTCAACAGCAATAGAGTCATTTTTATACCAATGGGGAGGCTGGAGCGCATACTCAAAAGGACAAAAGAGACGCTTTTCATATGTAAACGCTGATGGGTTGGGGTATCTGGGGCATATCATTGAAAGACATCCACGGTTATAATCAGAACCGAAAAAGGCTAGAGAATGTGTAAAATCTACAGATAACATGTAAAGCACTTACGCCAGATCCCCTCCAATAAGCAGTACATTACCCCGAGGTAAAGGTCGATATTCATCATCCACTACAACTTCGAGATTAGGCTGAGCAAGAAGTTTCGCAACAGCATATGATGAATTCCCACCATCACCAGTGTCCGCCATGAAATCAAACCAAAAATCTTCCTTGTTAGCAAGGTGGTCATATAAAAGTTCTTCCCTCTTGGTTCCATCACAAGATTTGGTCATTGCAGCCTAAAGATTTTTCAAAACGAAAACAAGCAAAAACATTAAAATGCAATTACCGCAGAAAGATGATCAAATCATATCATAAACAAACAAAAACTATACCTGCAGCATCCGCATGTCAAAGCGGCCAAGAAATACCGTCACTGAGACTAGGAGGTCAAACACTGTTTTAAACAAATCAGCCGATGTTCTGAAATATATAATTAGAGAAGTCAGCACCTGGTCCATTGTCTTGTTTTCATCGTTCACTCTCCTCAATAAAAACAATGATAAGCAGAAAAGGGAAATACTTGTTTGGCAGTGACGTACCCTGAATACCAAGGAACCATATCTAAGAAATTTGGTTTCATTTGCTCCTTCTTCAGCTTCTCACATTTCTCGACTGAAAGAGGGTGTGTCAGAGCCCACCTAAACAGCATAATAGAATTTTTAGATTTGGATGTAACACAAAAATTGTTCATATAGAGAGATACAACTTACCCTGTTGATCTCTCCACTACATAATTAGCAATGTAAAGACCAATAAATGTGGCCCACAACGAGTATATGGGAGAAATTTCGTTAGATGAATCGGGACATGATCCATTACACGCAATCTGAGAATAACAAGGTAGGAACAAGATGAGAATCAAAGGGTGAAGGATAAAAACATATCCACAGCTCACCAGAACACGGTTTAAGAAAGAGGTACCTCCCCGTAAATGAACCATTTGGACAACAGTGGATAATCACTTGCGGACCCAACTGGAGCAAACCATGACGAGCACACTTGGTCTTTCAGCTCATTCATACGAATGAACTGTGCAATCCAGGTATTGTTCCGATGTTCTCTTTTCCAGAACGAAAACAAGCTAGAATGCTGTCTTCCAGGAGATTTGTCCCTCAGAATAGCTCGGTTACCACAATGGCTGTAAAAGATACAGCAAGCCATGCTAAGAACCTGCATAGATGAAAGACATGAAGACAATAAACTAAAGACAGAATAGCTAGGCAAAGTTGGCTTAATGTGCGGAGACTAGTAATGTTGAACTTACAGTGCAGTTTTGAAGAATGGTTAAGATCTCCGGTCGTCTTCCAGCCACGCGAGAAACAAGACCAACATACCAAAGGGCAAGAAAAATGATGTGGAAGACAACAAGGAAGACTATAGATGATATGTAAATCGTCAAAAACAAGGACAGATTCATCCTCAAATCCAAACCCATTGACTGAAAATTAGGAAGATGATACAAAGCTGCAACTAAAATCCAGGCAATGTACCTAAAATGGAAAAAGAAGTAAGAACTTTAAAGACTGAGTATTGATGTTAAATAGTTTTGGAAGAAAGAACGAACAGTTGCTCACCATCGACTGAAGTTTGAATAATTTGGTCTGATAGTCTTCCCAATAAATGGAGAAGAAAAGAAGTAGAAAAACCCGAGCAAGCACCCATACATTAACCACCACTTGACTGAAAACTTCTCTATGAGGGTGTGCATGTTATCCGAAGAAATAAAGAATAGGCAACCGAGAAACACAGCAATTATAGCATGGCGAGAATGCTCATGCGGGTAAGGGTAAGTATGGGTTAGAATCGTTCTGACCCTCTCCATTTTGAGGGTATTTAATAAACGAGCAGAATGCTTGTCAGAGCCCATGGCAATGTGGTTCCTATAGCTTTGGTGCTTGACAGTTGATAAATAACTTTGGGCTTGCGGCTACTAGCTCAAACAGACAAAACCTTGTGCCTAATGAAACAAGGAGAAGAAAAAATATAATCAGCACAGTAATGATCCACTAATGTAACAGTATCCATGGAATAAAGTTTAATATAGTAGTAGTCAAAAGTTATTGAACTTCTGAGTTCCGATTAAGATATTAAATGACATCTTGAATTAAACATTACAGAAAATGGTAAATGGCATCGAAATTCACTTAAGAGGAGAATGTAGACTGCTGTCTGATGATACATAAAAACCCTTGATCCCCAAATTCAAATATTATTCACTGATACTAGAACCAGACTACTAGTACAAGCTGTTGTAAACCAAGACAGAAACAACCTGAAGTAAACTCATCATATACAC